CATGACCTCTTGAGGTCCCTTCCAACTCTGATATTCTATGATTCCACTCCTGCTGGCTTTCCACTAACGATGCAAATATATTAACCCTGCTCCCCCCCCCAGCCCCTGATTGATGGGATGGGAGTCAGCTGCAGCTCCCGTGGGAGGCTGAGTATAAAGATGGGAGCTCAGCAGCAAACTGAGGGGCTATAGGGTAGTCCAGGCAAAGAGAGAGGGGGTGTGTGGGTGCTGCAAAACACCAACTCCATGGCTGAGGCAAGGCTGCAGGAGGAGGCTGGGGGAAGCAGCACCTCCCTTGGGGGTGTTTTGGCCTCTGACCTCTTTGCCTGCCCCCACAAGGAGTGTGGTGCTGTGTTTGGCAAGGAGAGGAGGTTACAGAAGCATCTTGCTGTGCATGTGGGGGAGGTAAGAGGGGGACCTGCTCCCCTTTAGGAAGGTGGGGAGAGACCTGTCCTGCTCAGTGGCTCCGAAGAGCCTCTTACCTGCTCTCCTTGTGGCAAGGAGCACTGGAGTTGCCTGAGTCAGCCCATGGCTGGCCTGTCTGAGCAGGGGTCTGAAGCAGGTGGGTTGGCTGCTTCTCTTCATCCTAGAAGTAACAGATCTAGTAGGGTGGAGCTGCTTCAGAATGGGATATGCTGATTAACCCTTTCTAAGCCTGGGCTGTGGCACTCCTGGGTAGCAAAGCCATGGCTGGATTGCACCCCAGTGCCTGGCTACCAGCCCTCCTGCATTGGGTATCTTGTCTAAGCCCCATGTTTGTCTGGATGCCTTTTATCCTTCCCTTCCCCCCCCCCCCTCCCTTGATTATTGTAATGCTGTATGTGGCCTGACCCTGAGTGTGAAGGGGCCTGTGAGGGTGGTGCAGTCCCTCACCAAGGCATGTCTCTGCAGACGGCTCCGCTGAGTGACCAGGCTGGCCATGGCAAGAGATTCCGTCGCAGAAGCTCTCGGCAGATGCCCAAGCAGCAGCAGGGTGATGCCAGGCTGAACAGGTAGGGCTGGGGGGAGGGAGCTTGTCCTTTCTCTCTCCTCCCTCCTATTGATCAGCCCCCCCCCCAAGGGGGTCTAATGGGCCTTGATGATGCCTAGTGGGGCTCTCAGAGTGAGCCCTCTGGGGAGGGAAACAGGAGGCAGGATTGCCCTGGTGCCAAGTGAGATCTGGGCCCCATTTATGCCAGGTGCTGCCCTAACACCTAGCGGGAGAATCCCTGCCCTGGAGGCGATAAGTGTAAATGACAAGACTGACCAAGGGGAAAGGGAAACTAAGGCACACAGAGGGAAAGGGAGTTGCCTGTGGTCACATGGCAGCTCAGTGGCAGAGCTGGGAGTAGAACATGGTCTCCTGACTCCCAGTCCAGTGCCAGACCCACTCGGCTGTGCTGCCTGTCACTGACCTGGCCAGGCTGTGGGCTGATCTAGTATCCAGAACCCTCTCGTCTTCTCTTCCTCCCCCTCACCCCCTCGGGGCACCTATCCCTGCCTTATGTTCTTAACTACACACCCCTTTCCTTTGGCTAACTGGCCTGGGCTGTGCTGAGCCAGGCTCATGCCAGCTGGCTTGGAGCGAACACCTGTCTATCAGCCGTGTCTCCACCTTTCTCCAGCTGCTTGGATGTGGACTGCAAATCTGCCTTTGTGCCCAAGAACCACCTGCCAAAGCACTGCAGGGCCCAGCATGGTGTGGCGAAGTCCTTCCAGGTAGTGCATGCTGGTGGCAAGATGTTAACGAGGTGGGGTGTTGGGTCAGGGAGAACAGCGAGTGAGGTGGGAATGGGGGGGGTCTGGTCACAGGTGGCTCCAATGGGCTCTTGAACCGACTCCTGTTGGGTCTGAGGTCAGCCGTGCTGATGCCTGGGCCATCCCTTTCACTCAGGGGGCATGGAGGGCCATCGCTCTGGTAGCCCAGATAGCCCCCTAGGCACAGGATGTGATGCCAACCAAGTCCCTTCTCTGGGCTGACTCCCCTTCTCCTAACTGTGACTTGGAGCAGCACCTGTGTGGGGCGGGTCTTCATCTGTTGGGTGACCCTGATGGGGCGTGAGCCTTGGCAGAGGGGGTGGGGATCATCCCAGTGCCCCTCTCCTGGTGTATGGGTCTCAGTGGGGGGACGTCCACATTAGCCAAGCTGTGAACAGTGGGACTTGGGGGCAGGACTGGATTCTGGGTCTCCTGAAGCTGGTGGAGTCTCTTCCTTCTGTGAACACACGAGGGCGCCAGAGGTCACGGCTCTGGCTGCCCTGTAAGATGGCAAGGGAAGGCCCAGCCCAAGGGGGCTAGCAAGGGGCCCCTGCACCAGGTGCCTGGGTTAGGCACAGCCCCTGGCACGAGTGTGACATGATCCTCCCCAGAGAAGCGATTCCCCTCTGCCCTTACAGTGCCAGCGAGCCTGGTTTGTTCCCCCTGCCTAGCCCAGCGTGGGCTGGAGCCGCAGGTCTGTTCTCAGACCCTGCCTGGCCTTGCAGCCCTGGAGCCCGTAGCATTTGCAGGGTCGCTGGTCGGCTCAAACTGCCTGAAAATCTCTAACGGCGAGAGGAGAAATTCTCCCCTCTGTGCTGGAGGCTCTAAATGTCACCGGCAGATGTTTGATTCCCTGTCCCAGGTGTCGACTGCCTGGAGCTCCCTGATCAACCTCTGGGGCCTCCATGCTGCTAACACCCTTCCAGAGCCCCCCAGACCTGCTTGGTCCCATACATGAGGGGCCCTGGGCGGCTGGAGGGGAGGGGGATCAAAGTGCATGGGGGGGGAGGGGGCAGAGAATTGGGTCTGGTTGACTTGTCTCTCCTGCCCCTCCAGTGCAGCTACCAAGGCTGTGAGAGCACCTTCAGGAAAAAGAAGGCCCTCCGGGCCCATTGGACCGAGCATACCACGGTGCTGCCGTTTGTGTGAGTGTCTCCTGTGCCCCTCAGGTTGGGGGTGGCCGATGCCACGAGACAGGAGACCCCCCCCCCCGGTGTGGTGTCAAGCAACACCTCCCAATGCGAGAGGGCTGGCTGAGCTGGCCTGTGCCAAGGGCTGCTGAGGGCAGAGGATTTGCCATATCTGGTACTGGGGGCTGTCCTGGGCCGGATACTGAAGCTGGCCATGCCAGTGGCCTTCTCCAGCTTGGCGTAGCCGATACGCTGGCCTTTCCCCTTCTCAATTCACTGCCACCCGTTGGCTGGGTCTCTCTGGATTAGCCTGGGACATCTCCTTTCAGACATGGGGAGAGCCATGGCCCCCTCCCCTCACGAGTGGGGTGTGCTTCATTCAGGTGCCAGGAGCCCGGCTGCACCATGAAGTTTGCCAGCGCTGCCAAGAGGAAAGCTCACCAGAGGAAACATGCCGGTGAGCGGCTTTGTCTGGGGTGGGTGGGGGAGTGTTGGGGGCCTGCTGAATGGGAGGCTGTGGTTGCTGGCTTGACAGTCTGTGGCTCCCCGTCCACTGTGGACCTCTGCACCAGCCTCCCCAGGCTGGGATGGGGACATCCCTGACAGCTCCTGCTTCTCACTGGCACAGCTGCTCCCTAGCCACAGCGTGGCAGTGCCTGGAGGAGAACTAGCACTGGGCTGAACGCCGTGGTGGGAGGTGCCCTGCTGGTGTGTGGTTCGGAGCACATGGCATCAGTGCTGCAAGCCGGGTTCAGCAGCCACCTGGAAACGCCTGTGGTCCTGGGGTGGCTCCTTCCAGCCCAGTTCAGCGTCTCTCTCCACCTGCTGATCCTCCTCCCTGTCCCTCTTCCAGGATACCTGTGCCCCAAGCCAGACTGCAGGTCTGTCTTGTCCACCTGGACGGCGCATCAGAAACACCTGCAGCAGCATCCTGGTAAGGCAGGTGTGTAGGGGAGCTCCTTGCCCCCATGCAATCTGGGTACCGGATACCAGTCTGCCTGCATTTCCCTGGGCACGCACTGAATGGGTGGCATCCCAAACCAAACATCGCTAGCTCGTAATATCAGCAGGCTGGGAGGTCACCTCAGCAGGTGGTGGGGAGGTCTCCCTTCTCCATGCAGTGGCTAGGGAGGAGATGTGACTTGAGAAGCCCACGGCTTCGTTTCTCTCCTAATCAAGGTCTCCCTTTCTCTGGGCGGTCATAGTGGAGGCAAACGATGGGGGACCTGGCAGTAGGCCAAACCCCAGTGTCTGCTGACCTTCAGTCCTGGCTGGTCTGGCCACACCTGGCATCCTTGCCCCATGTTCTCCTGGTGGGGCTTCCACCTCGCTTTGGAGGCTGGTGCTAAGAGTGGGATCGGCCGCCTCCCCCAGGCAAGCAGACAATTGAGTCCTAAGGCTGCCCTGCTGTAGAGTACAACAGTAGCTGGATGGGCTATTCAATAACCTGCCCATCCTTCTCAGACCTGTGGCCCTCCTGGGGTAGGTGAGGGCTTTCAGGTGCTGCCTCTGCCCTTCCTTGGGGCTCTGGATTCCGTGAGGGCCATCGGATACTGATTCCGCTGGCCTGGGGCAGTCCTGTGTCACTCCAGCCAGTAGAACTTGTCCCATCAGATGGGCTCCAACCACCCCTCAACTCCCAAGTAACTTCTGCTGAGAGTGAGCTGGAAGTGGCCACCCTCCACCGCCCAATTCTCTCTGGGGAGAGGGTGGGGGTATGAATCCCCAAACTCCTGGGAAGCACCAGGGCGATTGGGGTGTTGGTTCTGTCTGGGAGCACAGCCTGTGCTCTCCTGCCCAGTGGAGTACAAGTGCCAGCTGTGCCCGAAGATCTTCAAGAAGCCGGGCGGCCTGCGGCGGCACAAGTCCTTCCACAGCCGGCAGAAGCGGGCGCTGCCGAAGCCGACGTGGGCGTGCCCCAAAGCTGACTGCCAGGTCTCTTTCACCACCATCTTCAACCTGGAGAGCCACATCCGGAAGGTGCATCTGCAGCTGCTGAAGTATCGTTGCTACTTTGCTGGCTGTGAGAAGGCCTTTGCCATGCGGGTAAGGAAGCAGCAGGGTCTCTAGGCTTTGGGGATGTGGGGGAGCTGTGGGGCATAGAGCTGGCTCTAGGCATTTCTACTAGCGGCAGCCGAAGGGTTTGTGTGTGGAGCTGGCTGAAAATAGGCTTTTTTTTTTTCCTATGGGGAAGAGGGTTTTTAACTTGATCAATTTTTTTGACTTGGCAAAAAATCAACCCCCCAAATATTTAACTTGGGAAATGCTGTCATAGTGCCTCATGGGAATTGTAGTTCCATTTCCTCATGCTCCTATTGGTCTTTCTAGGCAGGGCTCCCTGGGTGGACTACATTTCCCATGATGCACCAATCTTCCCCCAATGATTAGGGGAGCAGTTGCATCATGGGAGATGTAGTTCAGCAGGTGACTCTGGCCCATAGTGGAGACAGGGATCAGGAAGAAATGGAACTAAACTCCCATGAGGCACTGCACTGGAATACCCAGTAACCCTAAAATATTTGAATAAGGGGGTGGTGGGTTTTTTGGGGTGGGGGGGGTGTCTTTAACCAGGGTGAGCAGGGGTCTGTGCTGGGCGACTTACACTCCTTTCCTTGGTAGGAGAGTCTAATCCGGCACCTGACGGTTCATGACCCCACCAAGAAGAAACTGAAGGTAATTGGCCCATGCCAGAGCAGGTCCATCACAGGCCCTTCCTGAAGTAGCAAAATCTCACTTAAGCTGGGGTCTGATTCCAAATGGGGGGGGGGCTCCACCCTTCTACCTCAGTGGGAAGTGGGGCATGACGTGTGGTTCGGAGCACATGGCATCAGTGCTGCAAGCCGGGTTCAGCAGCCACCTGGAAACGCCTGTGGTCCTGGGGTGGCTCCTTCCAGCCCAGTTCAGCGTCTCTCTCCACCTGCTGATCCTCCTCCCTGTCCCTCTTCCAGGACTACCTGTCGCCCCAAGCCAGACTGCAGGTCTGTCTTGTCCACCTGGAC